TCTTTGACAGTAAACAGCCATGTTTGAAACATTTGCCTTAGGAAGTTGCCTTACAAGAGCAGAAAATTGATCTCTCCTACTGTCTTCAGGAGCCCAGCAATTTCTGAAAGCTCCCTGCACCCCTCCACTGGCTCTTTGTCTATAAACGAACTTCAACTCAGCTGCCCCCCTCCAGTTCTCTAATCCTTTGCATGAAATCATTACCAGCTACTTCCAATGAACTTGCCGTTCTTCAGCTCACAATTATTGTTGTCAGCTTCACATAACAGTTCATCCCTTTTCTGCTTAATCAGAGGCTTTAGATTTCAGGTATTCATTGAAATGGAGAAGAGTTTTGAGGTTTCCAAATACTTCTTTTAATGAATCTTGTGATATTTTTAACAAAGAGGTCAGGAATACATATTTTCTTCTTTTATAAATGTTAATAAAATACAGAAAAAGAAAGAAAGAAGGGGTGGGGGAAGCAAGTTTCCAATAATTTTAGTCTGGTGACTGGTCCTTTGTGCATCTGTTCAAGTATTTTGTGGTTTGCATTTACGTCTGTATTTGCCCAATTTACAGCTTAAAAAAAAATCAATAGTAATGTTATATTTTCATGAAACCAGCATTTTTTAACTGAGATCTCATGAGTAAATTAAATTACATCCAGGCTGGATTATATCCAAGTTGGATTACAGTTGCAGGCCCTGATCCTGCAAATGCTTATACACACGAATATTCCCACTCTACCTTATGCCTCGGACTAGGACTTAGACCTGGAACCTAGTTCTAGGTTTGCTATAGCCTCCCTTTCCCCAAGTCCCTTGTTTGCTCTAAGTTTCTACTGTTTACTGAAAAAAGAAACTAAGAGAAAATATGTGTTAATACTGATAATTGACTTGATGTTGTATATATTTTTGATATATATTTATGAGTTATCATTTTCTGTGGTCATATATGAGCTATTGAATCATAAAATACAGCAAATATATGGTAAAACAGGCTTTATTTTCTAGGCTTGTCCCAGACTGTCCTGAAAAAGAGTTAGTCTGTGACAGAAAAGCTCCTGTTTGCTGCTTTTCCTCTTGATCTTTGATATCCTGTTGTTTCTACATCCTCCTGCTTCTGGCATAGGCAGACAAATTAAATTAAGCAAGAGCACGGCTAAATTCTTCCATTCAGGGACCCTCATTCTAGTCTGTACTTCTTTAGGGGTGACAGAACAGAGTTCCATAGTACAAACAAATACTAATAATAGGACTAAATCCCAGTACAAAGCTTCAGAGGAGCAAATGCTGTGTCAAACATGAGAACCACTGGAGCAGGTGGACAGAAACGCTACGGTGCAATGTAGGGAACAAAATTGCCCAAGTGGTTGAAAGATGATCTTTGCTGTAGGCAGTTCTCTAGGCTACAACATAAGGTAGTACATGAATTAAAAGAGGAACCTAAGCCTTGGAGACATTAAATGTGACTTAATGTATTATTGCATGTCAGCTGAGCTACTGTAACCGCCTGTGTGTCAACTCTGCTCAACACCTTTCATGCCAGGCTTGGGGAAGCCGTAACACCTTGAGCTGCCGTAAGGGCTAAGAGCTCATGTGCTGATGGTTACCACAGCTCAGCTGAGGTATCACAATTTGTTCTGACACAGTAATTTGGGTTTGTTCCTGAAACCTTTGTGATCTGTGAAGGTCTCAGAAGTAGCTTGAGGGGAAAAAGGGGAAAAGGAGATTTACCCGTGTTTGTTTGCAGCAAAATAAAATAGCGGCCTGACAAGCCATCCTTAAAAAAAAATGTTGATTGGCTAATAAAAGATGGCAATGTCTTGAGAATGTTGTTTTATATTCACCACAGAGTAGGGGATAGAACTTAATAGAGTATGTGAGAAGAGGTCCCACTGCAATAGACCCCACGCAGACAGGGAAGTAAAAATCCAAATCCCTCAAGAGTTCACAGTGAGCAATGATTAACCAGCCCAAGGGCCTGGAAAGTAGGAGTGAAACACACTGATTAACCCTTCACTGGTGTGGAAACCAGCGTAGTGCGTGGCATGCACCAAATTTCTTTTGAATGCTCATTAAAGTTAACACATCCCTTTGCAGTTTGCAATTTTTATTGTGGGTGTCCTGTGACGCAGCAGGCCTTGATCACTTTGCCCCAAAGTGGAATTGAAGTTCATCTGATTAAGTACTAGGGACTGCATATACAAAAGTAATTTCTCTATTCTCCCCAAATGTCATATATTATTGCTGTTGTGAGAAGTAATACAGTTTATCAGATACTGAACATTAGGTATACCAAATTATATGCTTATAGTCCTCACCACAACAGTAGACTTATATGTATATAAAACAACTTCTATATAAAGCCTATGTGTCTACTGGATCTTTTTCAGTGCATTACGTTACTGCTCCTCCTCACCAAACATCGATGACTGCAGGACACAGGCCTCCTTTCCAATCAATGTATGCACATCCCCTCCTTGAAAGAAGACCATTATCCTGTAGTATTTAGGTGAAAAAGCACACGATAGGATCTTAGAGTGGCTGTGGCAAAAAAGATCCACTGTGATTTATGCGAGGTGCATTGGGAGCTGTCTGATGTGAAGTCAGCAGATGAAGGGCAATGAATAATTCAGCACTAGGATCCGTCACATCATCTCTCTTCCCATGTTATTGCTGTTTTTACGTAATTGCAAAGTGAAAAATAAATTGATGTCATAAAGAAAGCTGCATCATTTGTCTGGAAATACACATAAGAATTAGAGGTACATTTCTTGCTGCTTTGTGAGCCCTGCGTGATCTTACCGTGTGCAAAATTAAAAATGTGCCTTTGTTAACACCTTCTCTCAGGTTAGATGGGCGATCCATGCAGCATGACATCTTTTACATTGGTATTAGTGGCCTGCACTGATAGAGAATGATGTCTCTGAATTGCTTCCTTCAAGCCATTGCCCTTGCTCTGTGCTTCCCCAGCAAGGCTGCAACACAGCTGGAGCTGAGGCGTCTGCCTGTATCGCAGGGGGAATTTTGAATGCCAAACTGCACACAAAAATACAGCCAGGGAAGGGTTCACCTGCCTCAGGGGACATTGGGAACAGGAAGTTATGTACAATGCTGTGCTATTTTACTCTCTCCATCCTAAATAAAGAACCCAGCATAAATAAAGAACCCAGCAAAAAGATAGGATTTGGTCAGTGGGATCAGTGATTCTGTACAACATCGAAAGCTCGGCTGGCTGGATACATACACATGCATACATCCATCTTTCATGGTGTTCTCAGTGTTCACAGGAATTGGTGAGCTGAAGGGCCAGTTCAAGTTTGTTGCCTGTAGAGTGGGATGACATTTTGTACTGACTTGCAGAGTTGTATGAGAACATGGAACACCCCCAAATTCTTGCATTGGGGCTGGGAGTTTGGAGGCTGCCCCATTCAAAGGTAGGTCTGACAAACAGAGTTCAGCCCACGGCCAAAGAGATTGGGACATTAGCTGGGAAAAGTTCTGACTCATTTGTTCCCTTTTTATGGTGAAGTTCATTATCCATCACTGTGTTTAAGTGTGACTTGTGCTCTGTGCCTTTCTTGCTATTACTATTTCATGACTGGAAAAAAAATTTTTTGGTGTATTTCTGCTTTTTAATCTGAATTGTTCCAAAAGATGCCATAACCAGCTCCAGCCCTGATTCTCCAGTTCCCTTACAAAGCACAGTCCCTCCTCTGTTCTTGACTTTGTCCTTGCCTCGCCTCAGTGAGGCTGATGTGAGCAAATGCTATTTCTTAGGAAAGTTCTGACTCAACAATGTAAGCTTTTCAAAGGAGAATGAATGCAATCTGTGAACTGAATTGGCAATGCAGGCAGATTAGAAGAAATGCTATGCAATACCCAGATCATGCCATTTTAATATCTAAAGATGATTGCTTTTAGGAAGGAGACAATAGATTTAGCATAGAGGTGACAAAACATATTCTTTTTGCTTTTTCTCTTGGTAAACAAACTTCTTTCAGAAATGAAATGAAGGTGTATTATTCAATAGTGATGGAAAGGGGAAGACATGGCATAGGGGCTGTCTTCCAGCTGGTAAGATAATAGGTATTTATCAACAGGAACCAGTGGCTACAGAGACCTTCTGATACCTTTTGTCTTGCAGGGCTTCACATTCTTTGAGTTAGGTTGTCAAAACTGAAGGGCTGTGGGGTTTTTTTTTTCATTTGTATTAGCTGGTTTTTCTCAAAGTCCATGTCATCTGGAAAAGTCTTCTGTTTAAGGTCAAGCAACCGTCCAAACCAGGTTTTAGAGGGGGGCTGGTGAGTGGAAAGAGAAGGAGAGGGATGCTGAAAGAAGGGAAAAGACCTAGAGTGGAATGGTGTAAGGGATAATACAGCTTGGAAAAAAAATTATTCAGTTAACAGACATGACCTGCAATTTTTAGGCAAAGAACATCTGCAAAAGACTCATTTTGCGTTCTCAGCATTTCCAATGGATCCTGCAAGATCAGACTTTCCCCCAAACCTTCCTCAATTTGTCTCTGTTGTTCTCTTCCAGCCCTGCCTTGAAGGGTGGAGGTTGGTATATCAGACTCAACTTTCTTGCCATTCCTACTGATGTTATTCCATCAGCAGTGAAAGAAATTACTGCATTGTATATTCCGCTTTCCATTCTCTGAAGTAATGTAGGGCTGGGATGGGCTGGTAAAGGGAAAATTGGGATAATATAGTTATTATTATTACTTCTCAATGCTGGGAGTAAATTATTGACAGAAGAATTAAAAGAGGGGAGTGTAAAATTTTGGGAGATTTTTTTTTCCTACTGTTTTTCTTTTTTTTTTTTTTCCTGTTGAACCTATTATTTAATGCTGCAGGTGTGGCCCTTCCCACCCCCACACCCCACCAGGTGATTCTCACTCTTGTTGTCCTTTAGCACAGGTTCTTGTGCTTCATTCAGTGCTCTTAAGTCTCTCTTGTGTTTTCATTCTCTCTTTAGTCCTTCTGACAGTGTTAACAAGTGATCCTCTTCCAGGTCTTGCACCAACATCCTTCTCTGCAGATTGCAAGGGCAACTCTCTCCCATCTCCTACTTCCAGCCACTGGATTTTCCACTGAAGGACAAAAGGTAAGTGACTATCTTTATTTTCACTGGTTTAAATGACCCTGCACCAAACCAGTTTTGTTCCTCATCTCCACTATGACATAACAAATTGCAGGTCCGAGGCAGAGGTCACTACAGTGGTAAGCAACAGGAATTACTTCCCTAGCTTAAGCAAAAGGTTCTTTTTTTCCTGGAATTCCTGGAAAATTACTGATAATTGAAGCAAAAACTTGCCCATGTGAGCAACCATGCAATACTTTTCCATGGAAATATAAAAGTGACAAAAATATGAAGTCAGAAAAGTTCATAGCTATCATCCAAAGGCACTTGTTAAAAAAAGTAATGCTAAAAAAACCACCCCATAGTAAAAAAACCACCTACTGGAAAGTGTCCTTTAAAATCTCTTTTTAGAAAGAGAGCTTTGCCTTCTTGAAAATAAAATCTCAAGCAAATAACAACCTCCTCCTGCTCGCCCCCATACCAGCAATCTTGAATATTTCAGGGATTGTAAATAATGAGGACTGGATTATCTTTATGGAGGCAATGATGTTGTTCTTGAAAACACTTAACTGGGGTCTTGGTTTTAAGGAGAAATATTCCTCAGTGCATTATTGCTGTGAATTGTAAGTGCTGACTTTCCGAGTATTTCCAAGCGCATGTTTCACATTAAAGTGTAGGGCTTTCTTCTAATTTCTCATCCATTAATGGATAAACTCTACTGGGGTTTTGAATGCAAAGACATCAGAAAAACACATGGATAATTTATTTTAGTTTATAAGCAAAGTTTTCCTGAAGTCACTTGCCTGTATTGTCTTGTAGCTGGTCAGACTAAAAGTAAACCAAAGCTTCACCTGAATTCTATTTTGTTGCATGTACATTTAACACTAAGGAACTGTATAATCCAATATAGGGGGTAGGTGAGAAGAGTGTAATCCAAACCAGTATTTGATGTTGTATTCTTTCTTCTGATGCCTAATTTCTAGCAGTTCCATGAAAAGTTTTGTAGACACTTTCCTGATGTGGATAATAAGATCATCTCAAGTGCATGTTACCTGGGCTGTGCCCTTGAATCTGTTTGGGATAACGAAAAAAAAATTACTTCTATCTGATGCTAGAATTGTTTTGTTCAAAATATTGGGGGGGGAAACGACACCCACAGCAATTCAGCAGTTTTGTTCTTGGAAGTTTAATTTGGAAAGCAGTCGTAGGTTTCCTATAAAGCTTGTTATAGGTGTTTGGGGAGGGGACTGTGGAAGGGTCTCGTTTGTTTTTATGCCCGGATAAGTTTCCGAGAAACACTTTCCATTTGGACAAATAAGCAAAGAACTGCCGAAACCAGAACACCAGTGAGCTTCCCTGGCCTACTGGTTCCAGTTTGGCAGGAGTCCCAGGGATAAATAAATGCAAGTTCAGAAAAATCTAAGAGGACCAACCATCACTGGGTCAGATCTGCAGGAGCATATTCTTTCTCTTTGATGACATCTGACTGAAGCAGGAGATTGGAGAGAGGCTTTAAACTGTGACTTTATGGCTTCTGTTGCTGTTAAAATACAATATCATCACAAATCATGAAGCCCAGGTTGTAGCTCTGCGGCTCCAGCTTCAGCCTCCATGTACAGCATTTTCATTGATCCTTATCTAGACAAGCAGCTTGTTTTGCTGCTGGGATTATAATCTTCTTTAAGAGAGTGATCAGCAAAACCCATGTTCTTTCCTCCAGCACAAAAATATACATTAATTAAAAATGTTTCTAGGCAGCTGGCACTGGTGTGTGAGACTAAAGGGAGTTCAGCACTTCTGTAGGGAGAAAAGGGAACCCCAGTAACAGAGGAGTTTATAGTCTATCATTTAAGATCAGTATGAGTGCTGCAAGGTTTTTGGGTTTTTTGTTCATGCTGCTAATAAGTACCACTTAGAATACGACTATTTCAAGCAAATTCTCTTCCAAGAAAGCACAAACCAAATGAAACTGGAGCATTTTGTTCAAATCTGCAATGTGGCATACTAATTAGTCTGTAAAATTTAATTAGTCTAAGGAAGAGTAACATACTGTGGACCGAATTCTTTGGTGACTTCAATGGGAGAAGTGCCTGTATACCTGAGGGTAGTGTTTAGATTGCCCTTTGATCTTCACTTCTGGAGCTCAAGTGCCAAATTGTATTAAAAATTAATTCTTAGAGCCCATTTTTAAAATATGGAGGGCCATTCCCAGAGGCAGATGCATACAGCCTGTTTCTAGGGAAAAGATGACACTACAGACTTTGCAGAAAGCAGTTTCATAAGGCTGGGGACGTTGGCAGTGCTAAAATGTGGCTTCAGACCCTGTAACTCTACTTCCTCCAGGAAATAGGCACCTGATCTCTGTTCTCATGAGATGAATAAGCGGTGCTGCCCCTTTGTACAGTGAGACTAAAAGAATTGCCCTGTCTTATATCAGTCCTTTGTGGACATTTATAGTTAAAGAAAATAGAAAAACATCCCACTGCATGCAGGCATCTCAGACTTGGCTTTTCCATGAGGATTTAATTGATTTGGTTTTTAATTCTTTGTAATTTTTAAACTTTTTTTCCCATTGTTCTGAGATGCTATTTTTTCCTCTCCTCCAGCCCCTAAATTTTGCACCCATCCCTACCCCAGGGGCTGCTGAAACCCAAGTGTGACAAATGTAGAATCAGCAGTTTGCGTGGCAGTGCCCTCATGGGGCAGGAGCTTGTGCTGTGGCAGAGTAACTATGATAATGTTATAACCCAGTTTCCTCTCAGATTAATTCTCTGTTGGGTTTGCAGGTTTTAAATCTCTGATATCAGGCAACTACCTCCCCTCCCACAAATGCTGCAATAGCCTATCATTATATTTTGCAGAATATCTCGGAAAGAATTATAAATCTGGATGCTTATGTAGTGATAAAGATATTTCACTGTATCATTGCTGTAGTATTAAATACGGTGTGTCAATAATTGAAGTGAATGCTTTTCTGAGTAATGCTGTAATTTCTGGTTTTCAGATGACGGGTCAGGGAAACCCACAAAACTCCAACAGAAATGGAGGGTCAGGTGCTTGACTGTTTTTCTGTCTCTCTGTCGGTGTCACTTGTCCAGAGTGATGTGGGAAAGAGAGGACTGGCTTCAGGCTGGGCAGGTTTCTCAGTTCATGTCCTGGTGTCCACTTCCTTACACTGGGAGCTCTGCTCCGAGGAAAGTTCTGTCTCATGAACTCACAGACTTGTGGTCAAGCAGCTCTGTACAGGTTGAGGGCAGAGTTTCTCCTACAGCAGGTAGGAAATGATCCGCTATCATTTTGTGTGCCTGGCATGGAGAGGTCAGATGGCTGGGGCACGTGTGAAAGTAAATATCTCTGGGAATCAAAATACTGTTTCTCAAGGACTGTATCTGAGTTAGTAATGACATTAGTGTTGTCTGTGAACAAACATTTCACTAATGTGAAAGAATTCCCTTTATATGCATACAGTTTCCTGGTGTATATGTATTTTATTTATTTGATAAAAGGAGCCTTATTTGTTCACTTTTGAGATAATGTAATTTGAGCTCATGACTCTTTCTTCTCTAAACAATGTAAGGTCAGAGTGGTTTGTGTGATGCTCCCAGAGTCCCAGCAGAATCGTGGTTCAAGGGCTTCCCTCTTCTCTTTTGGCAGATAGAGTATTGGATGCTGATCCAGCATCTTAGGAGAATGATCCTTTTCTTCCTTCACATATCTCCTCAGCTGCTGAGCAGCTGAAGAGCTGACAGAATTAAATTACATTGCTGCTGCTGCTATTAACAAAGAGTAAAGAGAAACTGTTACATCTGGCTCCACTTCTTTGCCAGAGTCTTCATTTAATTGTTTTCTAATTTGAAGAAAACCACAAATGACAAGATGAAACTGCTAGAAATGTAAATACAAGAGTCAAATTGCTCTTGTCAGATTTCTAGTTCACAAACCATGGTAATGTGATTCTGCATATCTGACCAACAAATAAGGGTCGCAGCCAGAGGATGATGATAATTTCTCCCTCCAAATTTGCAGTCCCCACACTCACAGTCACAAAAATGCTTTTGCTTGAAAGAACATCGAACATGCTGGATTTGAGGAACCAGCCTGACAGCTGCAGATTTCTTCAGTGCATGCTCCAGGAGAGCATTCTTCCTTGGCAGTAAATGGGGAATCTAGATTGAGCTGGCTCAAAAAGGTTTCATTATTTATTCTCTGCCACTTTTACAATGATTTTTCCCCCTCCTCATTTTAGTCAGGTGTAATGGTGAAGTATATTTGAAGAATAAATAAAGTTTTGCAGATTATGGCATGAAGGGTCATCCAGTTTCTAAATAATGGGGTCTCAACTCAGTAGTTATCTATCTCAAAATCAGTAGTCCTGATTTTTTTAAAAAATAGTACACTAATCAAAGACTTTTGTCTAACAAATTTACAAACTCTTTGATTCTCACATAAGAAATTTAGAGCAAAGTATTCCAGAACAGATTGTTGGTAAAGAATAAGGTTTATCCTTTGCAAAGTCCTTATGAGGAGTGAAATCCATGTTAGTTTACCGATAGTTTATTATTCAAAAATTAGAAATTGTCAGTTAAAATAGAGAAATGCAAACAAAATCTGCAAGCTAATGTTTCCTTCCCAACTGATGTCTGACACTTAAAAACAGTCACGGTTCTGAGCTCCACTGGGCAGGTTTACACAGTCAAATGGCGAAATCAATCACCACTAAAGGATTCCCTGGCTGAAAGAAATCCCCAGGTAACGTGAGGACCCTTTATTCCTTTACAAATACTCTGCAGCCTATCAGCACTGGCAGTGGCTGGCAGATAGCTGACCCTTTGTGCGACGTCCCCACTGCAGCTCTGAATGACACAGTTGGCCAAGTTGCTGAAACTCATATATTTCCTTTGAAGCTGCCTCATTGTGGAGGAGAACAACCTCCCTGTGCTGATCCCTATCTGCTGCACGGGTCAGCTGGCAGGGCAGTTTGAAGGACAGCTCGTTGGGGCTGCAATGTCATGTGCAGAGGGTTA